AGGAAAGAACCTGCATATTTCAGGTCCCGAGGAGGGATGGGGGGGTGCGGTCATGCAAGGGTGGGAGGGCTGGAAGAGGAGCGAGCTACATAGTGTAGGGCCTTAGGCCCCCAACTTGCTCCCTTGGGCCTTCCAGAGAGCTCCTTTGACCCTCTGGGTGAATACGTTGCGAAGAAGCTGACCGCTCTTTGCAGACCGGAGGATGGCGGAAGGAGGCAATGGACACACAGTGTAAGTACCTCTTGAATAATTAACAAAGGAGTCCCTCTGTGTTGGAGGTGGTCCAGTCACTTTGGGTGATTTCTAAGTTAAGAGGCACGTCATAAGGCTGCATCAACCCAATGTAGTCCAGTCTTGGGAAAGGAAAGCAAAGATGCGGAAACGCGTTGCTTCCTGTGGCAGCTGTAAAAATTGCCACGAACTGGATGTCTTAAACAGCAGAAATTTAAGGAAAAAAAAACTGCAGAAATGTATTCTCTCCTGGTTCTGGAGGCTAGAAATCTGAAATCCGGGTGTCAGCAGGGCCAGGCTAGCTCGCTCTCTCTCTCTCTCTCTCTCTCTCTCTGAAGGCTCTGGGAAGACTTCTTCCTTGCATCTCCCCAGCTTCCGAGGTGACCAGTACTCCCTGGGGTCCCTTGGCGTGTAGACCCACTACTCCCATATCTGCCTGCGCCTTCACGGGGCTCTCTTCTGAACGTCTCCAAATCTCTTTCTCTTTCTAAGGACACCCATCATTTGATTTAAGGGCCACGCCAATCCTGTATGACCTCATCTTACCTGGATCACATCCCCGAAGATTCTACCTGTAAATAAAGTCACATTTATAACCGGAAGTTAGGACTTCAACACAACTTTTGAAGGACACAATTCAACCTGCAACACACTGTCAGCCAAGTGGACCCTGGAGCTGGACATAAAGGGGTTCATTTGGATCTGCCGCCTCCAACCCCTCAGGGGTTTCCCCCTCTCCCGAAGTCATGGGGTTCCGGGGCCCTGGAGCCCTGGAATGTTCCGCTAGACCAGCTCTGTAGAATGTCTGATCTGTTCTCAGCTCCTGGGGGACGCCAAGCTCCATTACAAACCTCATGAAAGCTGGCTATGGCTTCTCTCCCCAGGGGAAAAAAAAATGCTTCCTTGGAGCTGCTTGTAAATGTTTGGCTAGTACTTTGGGAGGGCCAAGGAACTATAAAGCCACAAGATCCGTGGAGCATGGGTAGGAGTTGGCGGGTTTAGTCTTTCAGATGACAAACAGGCTGCTAGACAAATAGAACAGATACCTAGGTCTCATAGCCGGCCTAGGGGAGAGCTGGAAGCTGCCCTCCGGAGAGATGGCATCATTCTGGCAAGTTCGATGCCAGCCCAGAAGTACAACGTAGGCACCAGGAGAGAGCCAGAGGGGTGGGAACGAGTCTCAATGAGGAAGCTACCAAGAGACTGGGACTTCTCTTCATCCTGGGGGTGGGGGGAGGCTGAATCATGTCATCAAATACACTGAATGAAACCTTGCCAAGCACGGAGCCCTGCAGCCTGCGGACAGCCAAGTGGAAGGACAGGTTTGCTGGGCACAACAGACAGCAGCTGGCCCTCCTAAATGTCTAGGTCATTGTTTTCTCCAGAAAGAGTTTCATATAACCCAGGTTTGCCCCTGCCTCACTGGCCAGCCCGGGAATATTAAGCCACCGAGCCCTCCCTTAGAACATTAGAGCATCCAAGAGTGTGTGCCCGTGAGCCCACGGCACTAGTGTTACACTGTTCCTTTCAGGCTCCACAGTGACTTTCATCCCACCTTATTGCTGGGGCCCACGATCAAGGGCAAGACCTCATACTGGCCTCGGGAGTGGCAGTTGCATCTGGTCCGAGGGACACTCCCAGATGCGACCAGCACACAGGACATGGGCATGAGTTAGCATCAAAATACAGTTTAATTTTTCTTCCTCTCTATTGTGAGTAGAATCATGTCTCCCACACTCTCCGAAATCTATGTGAAAGTCCTAACCCCAGGTTCCTGTGAATGTGACATTATTGGGAAGTAGGGTCTTAGCCCATGTAATCAAGTGAGGATGAAGTAACACTAGATTATGGGGGAGTCCAGTGACTGGTGTCCCTATAAGAAAAGAGAAATTTAGACGCAGAATCACACAGAAGAAGCCATGTACGGACAGAGGCAGAGAGTGGAGTGATCTGTCTACCAGCCAAGGACAGCAAGGATTGCCACCAGAAGCTGGAAGAAAGGCCTAGAACAGATTCTCCCTCAGTTTCCAGGAGGAACCAACCCTGCCGATACCTTGATTTCAGACTCCTAGCCTGTAAAACTGAGAGACAGTACATTTCTGTTGCTGCAAGCCACACAATCCATGGTGACTTGTTATAGTGGACCACAGGACCCTTGCATACCCTCATAACCCCCTCAAAGTGATTCCAGCAGGAGGAGATACCTTGCTGCTCCCAGGACCCAGGACTTTTCTCATTCCTCTTACACATGTTTACTATAGTCACACATGTGCACGCGCACACACACATACACACGCAGAGGATTCCCACTCAGACCCTGGAATGGCGTGATCCTTGGATGAGCCAAACGGCTGGCATCCCTTGCTGTCCCACCCATGCTCCTCTCCCAGCCACTGCATGGCTAAGGGCCACCACCAGCCCTAGAGGCTTAGGAAGGGATGGCTTCTTTTTCCTTCCTGGTTAAGAGGCTTCCTCCTGGGATAGGAGAAGAGTAAATGAAGCAAGATGGGATTGGGAGGGAGATAAACCATAAGTGACTCTTAATCTCACAAAACAAACTGAGGGTTGCTGGGGGGAGCAGGGTTGGGGGGGTGGGGTTATTATGGACATTGGGGAGGGTATGTGCTATGGTGAGTGCAGTGAAGTGTGTAAACCTGGCGATTCACAGACCTGTACCCCTGGGGAAAAAAATATATGTTTATAAAAAATAAAATTAAAAAAAAAAGAGGCTTCCTCCTGTGTGAGAGGGTGGGGAGGGAGGCGCAGAAAGATATAGAACCCATTCTGACGGAATGGTGCCATTAAGAGATGGCGTCCTGGACCTACCTGTGCTCAAAGCCGCTTGCTCTTCCATGGGAACCTGGACAGGCCCTCAGAGGCTCCAGCTGCATCTTTGGTGATGGGGCAAGGTGCCTGTCTCTGGGCAGGCACACCTGCAGCCCTCAGGCGGACCCATTCCACACAGACATTTGCTAGGGTTCCCTTCCCCTCAGGCAGAAACCCTTGCCTTAATTTATGTTCCCCCAGAAGGATACGGGGACCAGAATTCTGGGCCAAGTGATTTATTCTGGAGGGGATCCCGGGGAACACCAGCAGAGGCGGGAAGGGAGCGCATACTGGTAGCGGTGCCCTGAGCAGGTCACTGCTGGGGGCAACCGGGTTCTTCCTGCGGGGTGGGGGTTGCGTGCAGAGCACACACATCAGAGTGTCCCCCGCAAGACAGGAAATGGGTTCCCCACCAACTCCCAACCGGTACTGTTTGAGAACTATTCCCAAGGTGCTGTGGCTCCCTAGCACTTTGGGACTGCCCAGCCAGGACCCAAGCACACTCCTAAGTTAAGAGAGTATCCTCGGGCAGAAAGATCTAGGCGTCTAAGGGCTAAGTGGCTGTGGAGGAACGGAGGCCCTGGGCTGCAGCCCTCTTAACTGAATCCCTTTTGGAGATAACCCCAGAGGAGGTCAGCATTCCTACCCTGGTTGAGCACCCGGTGTTTGAGATGAGCCATCCAAAATGCAGGAGCAGTTCCCTCGCTCTCTCTCTCTCTCCCTCTCTCTCTCTCTTTCTCAGTCTTCCCCCTCCACTCACCCCCTCTCCCTCAGGCAAACAGCCCTGGCCTCTGAGAGAAGAAAGCCATGCGTCAGATTCCAGTCCACGGAGCCAGATCACAACTGGGGTCAAGGATCACGGGGCTCTCCAAATGGAGCGCATGCGTCCTTCTCGCTCGGCTCTCAGCGCCCTCCCTGCCACACACACCTGAACCTTCTTTCTTGTGGGAGGCTGTGCTCCCAGCAAGGGAACAGCTCTCTGCAAAGAAATCCGCTCACAGGAAACCCAGTGTCCCCTCTCTTCCCCCTTTCATAGCCTTCTCTGGGTTTAAAGTCCTTTAACCGGTTCTTTGATATTGCCTTTGAAAAATCTGCATTTTGGTCTCCTGTTGGAATTTCCTAGCTATTGCCTTTGGCACCCCAGGCAAAATGTGCAGTTTAATGGCCTCGCCCAGGGGCTCAGCCACGGGAGGTGGTGACTGGCCAGCATCCCCACTCCTGCCTCTGGAACTGGGCTCTGCAACAGGGGAGGGTGCCTGCCCTCCTCCGCACCTCAGACCCAGGTCCGACCAGGCAACCCACTGGTGCCCCACTTGGCAGCATCAAACCTTTCAGGAGAACAGCTTCCCTCCCGTCCATCTGCAGCCGGTCTCTCTGTAAGCCTCAGTCCAAGTTCAAAGGGCCAACATCAAAGACTACAATGGATTGAATGGTGCCCTCCCCAAAAGACAGGCCCCCTCAGAACCTGTGAATGTGACCTTATTTGGAAAAAGGGCTTTTGCGGAATGTATCAAATTAAGGATCTCAAGGTGAGATCATCCTGGATTACGGCGGGCCCTCCATCCAATGACAAGCATCCTTAGAAGAGAAGGGGAGAGAACACGGAGAAGAGAAGGTGACACGAAGGCAGAGGCAGAGATGGGAGGGATGCGTCTACAAGCCGAGGAAAGCGGAGGATCACCAGCAGCCTCCGGAAGCTAGGAAGGAGGGAGGCATGGAACACCTTCTCCTCTGAAATCTCCAGAGGGAACCTGCCCTGGATTTCAGACGTCCAGCCTCTGGAACTGTGAAAGGGTCCTCTGAAACCAGCAGCTCCTGTGACTTTGTTACAGCAGCCTGGGAAACTAATGGAAGACCAACAGGGGCTGTTTGCCCCAGCCCCTAGCCCTATCCAACTGTGGCTGAGACAAAGCTAGGTGTTCACCAAACCCTTCTTTAGTTACCGGTTGGGTAGATAGGAATACCACAATTCCCAGAAGCCTTTGCAGATGGGGTCAATGACGGAGTTCTGAGCAGTAAAATGTGGACAGACTGAGACCTGGTCTTTAAAACTGTGTTCTCTGCTGTCCCTCCTCTGCCCACTGGCTGGGTGGGATCCAATGGAGGACTTCGAGGTTCTAGAAGATAGAAGAACCGGAAGATGGGTTCCTGAATCACCTCATGGAAACTGCCTGTGAAACACACTGATATTTAAGGGTTACTTGTTAGATCAGGCAGACTTCCCTGTGTAGTACACACTTCTGTGTTCTTACTTTTACCTGGAAAGAACTATTTGAGGAAGAGCAGTGTGGACACTATTGAGTTTCCACTTTTTATTTCTTGCCTACATTCATAATTATTAACGTCCCTATCTTGGCTTTTTCACTAGATTATAAACTCCGTGGGGGAAAGTTACATGCCTGAGGAACTGTCGTGTCCTCTGCAGGCATAACACCGTTCCATGCATGTCAGACATGCCCCATCATCAGTTGCTGGGTGAACCCGATAATCCTCGCTGACATTTATTGAGCAAATACTATGAATTCTGTATTTGTAAAAAGCATTTAACCCACACAGTAACACCATGGAGGAGTTGCTGTTATTAGGGACAATGTAAGAAATTAAGGATCTGGAAGGTTAACCAGGAAAGGACAGATGGGGGATAGAAACCAAGGCTGTCTGGCTCCTCACGCCCACTGCCTCTGCCTGAACACAGCCCACCCCCCTCTCCAATTTACAGGGTCCCTAAACTAAAAGTCATCCCAACCCAAATCTCTACTGCCCATTTTCCCCAAAGAAGGCTTTGTGCTCACCCAAGCCACTGAACGCCAGGCCTCAGGGCTTTCCCTCCACGGTGGCTGAGCTTGGCATGCGGGCCTCCCACCACTGTTCCCCCCAGCCACGCAACAGCTGCAACAGGCAGCCTTCCCGGCATGCCTCATCTGGCCAGGCCGCTCCAGCTGCCTCCTGCGTCCCACAGCCAGCCACCCCAGGCCACCTCGAGACTGCAGAGGAAGGCCCACCGAGGCGCACGGGTGTGGTCCCTGGGTCCCGGTCCAACACCACCCACAGCCCTCCCAAGACCTGCTCTGCATTCTGCTACGGTGATAACAGAAACCCATCAAGAGGAAGAGCGAACATGAGACTGTGTGTGTGTGCGCGAGTGCCCATGCATGTGTGCACGAGTGTGTGTGTGCATGCATGTGTGTGTGTGTGTGTGTGTGTGTGTATGATGAAGAGATTTGCTTGGAAACACCAAACCCTCACCAAAGATGTTCCCAGCCCTCATTTGTACACACAGTCTTCAAACATCAAAGTGTTTGTTAAGTGTAAATATTTTTATTCGCTCCCCTCCTTCTCCTCCCTCCCCTCTTCCATCCCGGCTTCTAGCTCAGCAGATGCCAGGAGACCCCCTCTGAGTCAGAGCCAGCAGGGATGGTTTGGGAAAAGGGCACTTCCCGGTCCCAGCGGGCAGCCGGCAGCTGCGCCTGACAGCCGCCCGGGACTCGGCTCCCAGCCACTGGCTCCTCTCTTGGCGCCTGTTTCCATAGGAACGGACAGGCCCAGGATTGGCGGCCTGGGGAGCGTTACCCACGCTGGCTGCTTTGCAAGTGGTCCCTCCATGGACCTCCCCTAGCCTGCCCAGCCTGGGCCCGGGCCTGCCCTGGAAAAGGACCAGGAGCCTGGAGAAGTGTCCAAGTACAGGGGAGCTGGGGGGAACACCCCGAAATTCCAAGGCACGGAGAGTCTGAGACAACACCTTGCTTGGAGCCTGCCTTACCCCACAATCCCTGCCCTCCTCCACTGGGTACTCAACAGAGCGCCCGGTTCAGCTTTCCCACAGGGCCCGCCAGCCAGGCAGAAGACACAGAGCTAATTCAGATAGCTTAGACGAGGCACCAGGCCACACATGGCAGCCACTCCTTCCCCTCCAGAAAAAAAAAAAAAAAAACCCTTATGAAGCACCTCTCTGCTCCACAGTGTCTTGCGCCCTGCAGGTCAAACTGCGCTCTGCCTCTTAGTTTCCCTGCCAGCCCTGTGCTGTACATCTCTCATGATTAAACAGAAAGCCGACGGAGGGCCTTTCTGAGTCCCCAAAGCTAGGACCACAATGGCATTTGCATCTTCTCTACCAAATTAAGAAAGAGAAAAAGGTTCTCTGATGGGCAGGACGGTCCTGGCTGTCGTCTTTGAACCCCAGTCTTGCATCCTAGATCTTTTGCCATCATCAGGCTGGCCCGCAGCCTCCTTAGGCCTCCCCACGATGGGTCCTCCTAGGCCCCCCCCAATCTGCAAAGCTCTAAGGGCGCTCAGGGAGAAGCTGGGGTTTGGCTGATGGGCTCGAGGAGTCTAAAGGCCCCTACTCAGAGCTAGAGGTTGAAATGCCAACCCAACCCAGCGGCAGGAACTAACCAGCTCTTAAAGCAAGAGGACACTCAGGACTATTGATCAGAATGCACAGTCTACATCTATAATTAGACCCAGAAAGCTGCTTGCGCATCAGAAAGAGCGAGAAAGACATGACCGTGGCTCCGCTAAAGCCAGATACGCATCAGGATTGCACAAAACAAACGAAAACGCCACGGCTGAAAATGCCGCGCGTTGTTCCTCCCTCCCTCTACAAGGTTCCCCGTGAATCACACGCTTCAGCCCTGCAAGAGCAGCCAGATGTGACGGACCCTGTACACAAGGCAGCAACAGCTGACTCTGGGGGTGGGGGGACATGGCAGCCAGCCCTCCCATCGCCGCTGTGGCCGTGACCTCCCAGATCAGGGCAGCCGAGCACCTGGTGTCCTTGAAGCCCTGGGGAAGCAAAGTTGCCTTGGAGAAGTTTCGTTTGCTTTTTGCATTATTAAAAGTGGCAGGAAAAGGCTCGGTTTCTGGGCATTTTGTGGCGCGCGTTTGTTCTTTCGGATAATGAATCTGATTTGGGAACTGCAGCTAAAGTTTGGGGGGGGGTAGTCCATTAGAAAGAAATACTGTTTGTTGGGGCTGTGGAATGCTGGTGGCAAATTGCCCTTCCTAAGTGCTGTTTTTTTGAAAACTCATTCCTGTGGTAGGAAAATAAAGCAGATTTCAAACACTTAAGAGATCATTTTCAGAATGGTCTAGATGCACGCTGGTATGCCGGCGCATTTGCCTTTCATTGTTTTTTAATCACTATTTTGTCAAGTTTAATTGCCGCCATGCTAACAACCCAAACGGGAGCGAAACAAAATAGGGGATATCTATCATTGGTGAGAGCATTTTGATGGAATCTATATGCATTTGCATCTTCTCCACCAAATTAAGAAGGAGGAAAATAGAAAAGGTTTTCTCCGTTGCCGGTGGAAGGATCTTTTTCATCGGCCTGGGTGGGGAAGTCCCCAGAGCAGCGGGCAAACCGGGCAGCTTCCCACACATCGGCTCAGCCTCCTCTGAACTTGCTCGAGCTGGGCTTTTCTTGCCTGGATTTTCCTTCTAGGGATATTGTGAATTCTCACAAGTTCTTGCTGGCCGATGGGAGCCTTGAAGGCAGAGAGAGATTTTGCCTCAAGGATGCACACCAGTCCCAGGTCTGCTTCTCTTTCTCCTCCGGGGCTCGTGGCAGACACACGGAGGCATTACTGAGAACCTTCACGAAGGGACTCTGCCCGGCTTCCCCGGAGTGTGGTAAGCCGCCTCCAGCTGTTAGCCTCGGCAGGCTCAGCCACATCTTTGGAGCTGAGGTCACATCTGTCTCGGAGTGGCCCCCACCAACAGCTGAGCAAGGTTGTGGCCCTCCGGACTGGCCCTTTGACCCCAACACCACGGGCACCCATTGCTGAGTATCCCACTGGGCAGGCGGAGACGGATCAGAGCTGTGTGGCCTCCTGCTGCCGCCCCTGCCCCATCCCGCCTCCCCCTTGCTTTCATGGGCACTTCTCCTGGGTTATTATTTTAAGCCCGGTTCCATATAGTCCTGCCTGCGAGTGGCGGAAGGATTAAGTCAGCTCTCAAAAATCACTAACTCCGTCTGGGCAGCTGCTCCCTGGACCACTCAACCTGAGACCACCCTTTTGGCCACAAGATGACTTTTTCAAGCTCAACAGACCACCCTGGGTGCCTGTTTGATGATTATTTAATTCAAATATACCACACGCCTTGCTGAGGACCAGGAAGGTCTGGGACCAGCTCTATTGAACGATTGGGAGTGAACCCCGGGGAAGGTGGGGAGCTCTTTCAAAAGGGGGTTCCCAAATGGTCAGTGCAGACCTAGCATCTGGCAACTCGAAGAAGCACCTCAAGGAACCCACGGTCCCCAGGCACAGCTATTGTGGAATTAGGGGCTGTGTCCCTACAGGCCTGGGGCTTGTTACCCAGCCCTCGGCTCCCCAAGTAGACTGTGTCAGCTCCTTGAAGGCCAGGACAAGCCTGTCTTGCTCACCACTCTGTCGACAGACTCTAAAACTGAGCATGGCGCACTCTTACTGATCAGTGAGCGCTTGATGAATGAATGACTGATCGTGCCTCTTTCACAGCATTTCATTACAATTCCCCCAGGGCTCCCCCACTGCCCTGAGGACGGGGTCCAAAGCCATTCGCGTGATAGAGGAGAATATTCAAGGTCTGGCCTCCCAGAACCCTCCTTCCAGCCGAAACTCAGAGAATTAGCCAAGCCCCGCCCTCACTCGGCCTCGCTCAGCAGCGGCCGCCTCCCCTACTACTTTTTGGACAGCCCCTTGCCTACTAATGCTGAGAAGACTGCCCCACGCCTTTTCCCTCTTCCTCTGCTCCGGCATCCAACTCCCGGACGACAGGACCCCCCAAGGGCCATGCCGGTGTGGGACATTTGAATTCCAGGGCTCCAGGCCAAAAATAGTGAACCCAATGGTGTCCTAGGCCAGCTCCCAGGAAGGGGTTAGCTGAGGAAGGTCATTAGCATGAGTTCTCATGCCACGCTGAAGGGACATCTCATGCTCTAATACACAACGGGCTACATTCCAGACACCATTCCAAACACCTCGTATGTGTTAACTACTTGGGGGCCCTGTGCCCGCTCCAACGAGGTGGGTGTTATTCATACCTTCACTTTCCAGGTGAGGGTGC